TTATTTCATAATAGATAGATAGATAGATAGATAGATAGATAACTCTTTATTTGCACACTAAATTACAGAGTTTCAAGAAAGGAATACAACAATCAAATATCGAGTGTACAAAGGGCGGCCTTATTGCTAAATGCAATTTCTTCCAGGCAACCTTAGGATGGATCAAAAGTTGCAGAGTGACAGTAGTAGTTGAATATGTGAACCTACTATTTGTTTATCATCATCTACTATACATATTACATATACTACACATATCATACTATCTACAGACATTTACAATTTTTATACTTACATCTACAATGCATATCACAATAAATAAACCTATATATATATAAGTACCTACATACTATACCAGCAAATATACATATACACATGCATATATATATACGCATTCTTAAATGAATAAACATATAGAAAAGAGAAACAGTTTCGTTACACCCTCAAGCGTGATGGACTCCTAAAGTGAATAAAATTCCTGTACCATTTGATGATTTGACATAAGTTATCGTAAAAGTATAATTCTTCGGAGCCAAACCATGCAGGTTTCCATGGGCGACGGTACACACCATAAAAAATATATTTATACTAGACAAAAAGTATCGATTATAAAATTGATGCAGATTTTAATATTAAAAATCTTTATAATTTCATCCTGTCATACATTTAATAAATATTTATTAATACCTATAATAAACAAGAAAATAAGAAAAACACCTAAATTTAAATATCCAATAAAGATCTCCATATTATACATATTTGACAGATGGAAAAGTCTTTTGTCTATGAGTCTGCGATACGACGACATCGATTATAATGTAAAATTAGAATAACTGGACGGTTGCCCGTTCTGCGAGCAGCAAATAGTACTGGGGCATGCGACCAATCGTAACAACCGCAAATACATGCACCGCGCTGAATGCGGACACACCGCGAAAGACAACTACCCCCTACAGTCCGTAACGCGCTCCTCACACCGCTCTAGGTAGTATTCGGTACAAGTAATATGTCGCTATTATGTAACATATGACCATTCCGTTTGACATTATTAGTAAAACACAGGACTTGTGTAATTACCAGCCTCGAGCGAGTTTTGTACTGGCATTCAGGTAATTCTACACGCACTGCTGATGTGAAAACCAGTCGTGGACTACATATTTGGCACAGGCAGAGTGCATTATAATTTATCAATTGCAATGTGGCAATACAGGTGACAATATCTGTCTAATCACAGCACCTCCGGCGTGACATTCAACAAAATGAAAAAGAGGTCTATAAATATTTTGATTACCTTTTCCAACTGAGTTACTTATAGCTTTAATCGATTTTGGTGAAATTTTAATCTACGTAGGCGACGTTCCGATATAGCCTAAGTAGTGAAGTGGACACTTATGGTTTTCGAATACATATGTATGACGTTTTATTCATAAAATAGAATAATATAATTATAGTCCTAAAAAAGGTTTTTATGAGCGTAGATGTTAACACTTTCGACTATTAATTTCTATCAAGAATAATTCTTACTTAAATTGTGTTGACTTACTTTCTAAAATTTTAATGTGTGACATTTTATAAAAATAAAAATCAGGAAAAAATGATTTTTTGCTGCTTTGTTTTGGATCATTTAAGATACGTAGTAGACATATGTAGGTTTTTTATTTAAATGTTAAGTAGACATCTGTTCGTCGATATTCTTGTTTCCAAATTTCGGGACCAGCAGACGCTGACAAAATGCGTTATACGTACATATGTGAATCGGAGAGGCATCGGATGATCTCAGGGGAACAGAGATTTATTTCATATCGATGTCGTATTAAAGTCGTTACAGATTTATGTAAATGTACCTATGTAAAAGTAAAATTAAAATTAACTCATGTTTTAATACATTTTTAAAGACTACTCTAATAAAAATCAGCCATGCTTATGAGGTATATTGTCCCGTATACAGAGAAATTAATGAACTGTAACAATATTATATAATTAAATATTTAACTACCTAAGTAAGTTTGATGTAATAGATTAAAATTGACATTTATATAGGTGCGTGATCAAAGCCTTCAGGTTTAGTCATGCTTAAATGTCAGAACGCCAATAGTATTAGTACAGTTTTAAATTAAAAGAAGCTGGTCGCTACGCTTCCAGTACTGGCCGCAGCCCACACTCAATAATTATGTGATGACTTTTAGTTGTGAAGCCTGAGTAGGTGGTTTCAATATGTATGCAAGGTGTCACACCAATTCAAGTAGGTGCAGGCGCTCGAACTGCACTATAAGTGTCTTCGGTGTGACGACGGCTAAAATCAATGCGGAAATGTTCGCCGTCTGCTCCGAATGGGAGCACGGGATGCGACACGATTGCCACCGCCCGCCTTGCCGCTCCTGGCCTGCCGTTGCACCCGCGTCACCGACGTATTTGTCTCCACGTACTACAATAAACACTTCTATACTTACTTATTCTAATTAGTCCTTTCTAGAACACTTATTCTAAGAAAGCAATGAATTACTGTAATTCACGTCGGTGAAGCAGGAGTCTGGCACATAATTATACACAGTTTATGAAATATTTATTTACTTTACTTCGAAGATTTTTCTGTTTTCGGTGTTCAGACGAACATGTTTAACTAGGTGTCTGTGTAAAACATTATTCATCCATTAAATCATACTTTTTTTGTTATCTAACTATGAAACCTACCACTAAGCGAGCAGTTCTTATGTATCTATTCACACTTTTATAAGTCTTATAATTTAAATTCATTAAGATAGGTTGGAACAATAACTCTTGAAACCATACACCAAGAAAATTTCTAATTAAGAATAGATCGTAATAAAAGATGTTTTTAAAGATTTTTTATTTTCTCTACAGCCTGTGAGATCAGGATCCGACGTTTTACATTTTTACCTCGACAGCACTTATGTGTGTTAATGCTTTATCTTCTTCTTCTTTTATATTTTGAAAAAAAGTATCGGTGTAAAGGACTATGGATTTAAAGAAAAGAAATGCCGATCTCCAATAATAATTTATAAAGCTCATATTCCTCAAACAAATTATTGCGTAGTGTGCAATGATACAGAGATAAACGATAAAATAAATTTCAGTATACCGCTATCCTATATGTTTACTTACGCATGGACTAATGTGAAAATAATTATTATTATAATACCAGATTGCGTAAACCTTGACTGAATAATTGTCTACCTTAAAATATGCTACAATGGTAATGGTTGACGAAATAATACAGGCCGAGTAGCTTGCTATCACGATCATTATTGCAGAGTTAACGTTAACACGCCTTTTTTGCTTATACTTCCCACAATACGGAGGTTATCCGATTGACTCACGATCGCAATAAAAAATAAGCGTTCAAGCTCGTAAGAGCTGCTATAATATATTTTCTTTTCATTTAAAAAAAAACTAGCATGAGGGTATCAACTCATGTCTTACGTGACTTCATAATCGTATCAGTTACAAACGTATTTTATAATATTCAATACACGCATATAAAATGATTGTTTTGCGGAAGACACTTCATGCACCTTAGTATGTCATGTTATATTTTCTTTAAAAATATGTAAACAACTTGAAAAAGAATACGTTGAAGTACCATCGATGTGTATTCCAATTGACTGCACGGTCCCGTAACAGGTACAAGTAATCGTCTTCTAGACTGAAATTTTGATAAGCCCTACATAAGTCAAATATTTGTTGAACTTATCAGACTTTGTTCTAGGTTTAAACGACAGAACAAAGAATATCCTCTGTTCTGTGCTTTAAACGCTTTGTGTTTACGCAATATAATAAATTTTAAAAATTCCTTGCTATCTAGAGAAAAATGTAATGTGTGTTGTTAAATTGGTTTCGAGATTCGTGACGGCACTATAAATATAATTTAAATCGAAAAGCACCTGCAAGTAAAGCTTATAATACGCGAGTAGCCGAGTGACTTCAATTTAAATATTTTGCGACGTTTTTTTGTAGAGCCGAAGCAAAAAAGTAAAAAAAAATATTATAACCTGAAAGAAAACTTCTACGTGTAGTGCCATTAAACATTTAATAATTAGAAAATTAGCTCATAAAAGTTTAAACTGAAGTTGAATGAGGTTTAAACTTTATACACAGTGATAGACATAAATTATTATATTTATTTAGTCCAAGTAAGTACATTTATCAGCAGTCTGGTTACCATAGTACAGGCTCTGCCTAGTTTGGGATTAGACAGCCGTGTGTAAAATGTGTGAATTTATATACTTATACATATAACAAGAGACTCTTTTTGACGAGGCTCTTGGTGAAAAATATTCCGAGCCATTCAAAACGTGCCGTAGGTCAGAAGATAATGGTTAGTAGAGTCTTTATTCGTATTGGAGATAGCAGCTTCTAAATAAAAATTTGGATGTTAATTTGAAACAAACAATGAATGTGATTTTTTTTTATTAATTATATTATCTTAAATTTTTAGCCTTACGCTTTGCGTACATTAAAAAAACTTATTCCTAACACTTTTCAACTAAATGTACACTGCACAAATGCACTTTCTCTTCCAGATACATTTAAAAAACTGTTAGCTGTAATGTGTTATACTGTCCGTGAGCTTTTAAAATACGTAAACGTAATAAATGAACTTATCAACAAACGCATATTGGGTTCATTAGAGTGGAAATAATTAAAATCCGAACGAAAGCTTATTAATACCGGCATAGTCATGTTTCAGGTCGGGCTGTACTATTACAACACAAATTTCAAAATTCTCTAAACGTTGTAGAGGAACTCCAAAAAGTAGGCTTCAAATGCTGCCAATATTCCATTTTTATCTCTGCACCTACCGCATCATATTTCTACATCACCCGAAGGTCGACTGGGAAAGAATACCCTGGGCATTAAGTCAAACAATTTGTGCAATAAGTTATCATAAACAAAAATAAATAAATAAAAATTCAACTACGCCTTGTATTTGTAATTTATCTACGTAACATTCCATACACGTCATTTTTTCTGTTTTTTTTTTTTTACAATTCAGACACGGAGAACGATTGTATAAGTAAAGACGCGAGTGTTGGCCATGGAAAGCTCACAGCGGTGCAGGAACGATGAACGATGCAGCGGTCTGGCGCGGGCGGCGCGGGCGTATGAAAGCTCCGTCCCGTACTAGCGATGCCGTTAGCACAGGCTCGGGCGGGCGGCAGCGGCGAGGCGGAGGCGGGCGGGCCGTGGGAGGTACCGTTAATGACGTCGCATCCGTGACGTCGCCGTGGTGACGTCAGGCGGCGCGATATAGCCACCAGCCTCGGCGGCGGCGGCCTCAGTAACGCACCGCCCGTTCGCCAGCGCGTATCTCCGCGCCCGCTCGCGTACAGCCCGACGCAACCGACTGACTGAGTGAGTGAGTGCGCGTGCAGTGAGTGGAATGTGCTAGGCCGCATGAGGATCCTGCTAAGCGAATTGGGACTATCCGGCGCGTGCTTCGGCCTGACCCTGGAGCCGCGCGCCACCTCGTTGGATCCTGAAAAGCCTGCGCCAGGTCAGCGCCTGCAAGACGATTCGCGTACCACTTCTGTGTTTATTTTCGCTTTCGTTGTGTAGAACCTCTGGGTGTTGTAGACTGTGTGGGACTGTCGTGATGATGGCCATCGGCTAGAATGCGAGGTGCGTTGCTGACGCCCTCCAGCCAACATTGCGGCCTAAGACAATTCCAAAACACACGTACGTACCTCCCTTTTTGTTTTATTTTTTTATGTTAAATTTGTTTTATTTTTTTTATTTTTTTTTGTCCTAATCGTTTACCCCATTTTGTGTGTACTATCACGTTCCGCCTAAACACATAATATTAATAATAATAACAACAATATCAAATACTTTTATAAACTTTGTAACCATCTACTAGCAACTCATCTATGAGTGTAAGATCCGGCTTCGATCACAAAGTTGCGTGACATAAATAAATCAATGCAATATTACATATAGCACAATATAACACAATAGAACTATTTATTTAATAAAGCTATTTAACTAAACTTAAATTTGGATCAACTAAACATTTTATGTACACAATATTTAGAAACTTACAAAAATACTTAGAAAGCATTCCTAACAACTCACTGTTGAAGCATATGTATAATATTTTAAATTTTATATTACTTCGTTCAAGTTACTTACCTTATTTTCCAACACATTTCAATGCTAAGTGAAATTTTGTTCCAAAGACTCATCGTTCGCTATAAAAAAAACTGAGTTAAATATTTTTGTGAAAACGAATTTCCAACCAATGCATCGATTTTCAATCATTTACTACCACAATAAATAAAAGAAAAATGAAAATCAATTAAAAACAGGGATCTATCAATAATTTAAAACAAAATGTTAAAAGCTACAATCATTTTAATAAACATGTAGATACGTATGTATACGTATATATCGAAAATCCGAGACCTATACTGGTTTTCGTTTCTATCAATTCAAATGAATGTAATATAATTTTAAATAATATAAATCAGGTTGTTAAAGTCATGAATATATATATTTATGTAGTATAAACCTATTTTAACTTCGTAAATAACTATGACTAACCAATTTAACTTAAATTTAGGTAAAACATGTACCAAATGGAGGAAATATATACATCCACACTTGTATGGTCGGTTTGATGACACAAGTTAAACCGTTTACTTACCATAAATATTACATTCGTTACATTCAATTGCAAGGTGTGTTCTAACAACTATAATGTAAATTTAAGTAGCGGTATGACAACAGCACTGCCTTCGCTCGAACATTGTTAATAAATCGATTCATTAAACGATGATCGGATTTGTTTGAGACGAGGTGTGTTAGGTAACTGCGAGTATAATGTGAGATGTTTATGTCGCGATCGGCTCCGGAGCCGATGGCCTCAGCCAAACTACCTTCTGCCACTTGCCCAATCCGTTGTCGCAACCGGCAGACGTTGCACCTGTCGAGATGCGAGCCACTGCAAATTGCCGTCGCACAACATGACGCCCAAGTATTGTACCATACGTGTTCCACATTTCTCATTATTCCTTCCGATCGTCTTGACTCACTCAAATATATTACAAATACTATATTATAAACAAATACTGAGACGAGACAACTTCTATATAAAATACAAATTGATGCTAAAACAGAAAAACAAACTTTCACTTTTTGTTTTCATAAGCGTGTGCTTAATATATTAGACAAAAGGGGTTCTTTAAATAATGCGCTAACGTTTACCGTTGTACTTTTAGTGCTAAATAAAAATGTGAATGGATATTTGTAAATACGTTAAAAAAAATATTGTTATAATGTTTAAATATCATAGAAAATATCAATCATTCATGTATCATTAATGCATTACAGAAACAATGAAATAAAAATACGATAAATCTATATAAAGCTACGTATTCCGCAGCCTATTGACATGAACTCTATCAGCCGCCAGCTGTAAAGACGTCACGATATACCCGCTACCCGACGCGTCACTCTCACTGAGTAACCCACGGGTGGATCTACCCCTCGCCTCGGCGATAACGAAAACGGCATTTCTCCCTAAAATTGTCGCTCAGCAGGAAGATTTCATCGGTATAAAATAACAACTTTGATTTATGGGTGATTTTATCATCACAATTTATGAAGATATCATTGTATGGTGTCAATACTGTGACTAAGGATATTATTTTCTTTCTCCTAAAACATTATATTATTTATACTAAAGCAATAATCTATTAATTGAGAGGTAATGTTCTGAATTATTTTTCAAATCTAATTTACTTTGCCGCTGTTCCGTTCTTTCTAGCAACTGAATACTTTCAGTTTAAAGGCGTGATTGCGTCACGATATCTAAAAATATGAGGGTGGTGTGGAACCGAAGGAGAGGGGTGGTAGGCAAAGCGTCAGGTGGCGGACCGCGGTGGGTCCGTGGCCTCGGCCTCTGCATCGAGCTACGCCTGTGACGTCACAAGCGGTGACGTCACGCATCGACCCGTGCTCCACTTCAAGGACGCCCTTGCTTGACCGCCCGACTGGCTACCAACTTCCTCCTAACTTAGAAGGGCTTTATGCAAACATACCAAGCCTTAAGTGTTATTATACATAGAATTAGCATCCAAGGTATTGACTCTGTACAAAAATGTATGCTTAACGTTTTACGTTTTATGTAGTTGTAGTACGCAATACAGCGAAACGTGCGATCACTTTATATATGTATATCCTTGAGACAGAGCGACGAAACTCATTCTAAAAGTCTCAAATTTATCGCTACAAGTTTGTACACAATCTTAATTTAAGGAAATATAGTTTAATCGTTTGCGGCTAGTCTATATATACTTTAAAAGAATTATAAACGATACTTTATGTTATCTCAAGCGGTTCGGTCGTTCAGAAGATACAGGATCCAGACCCACTAACGATCACGTTCTTTTAATTACTTACATTTTATTTTTGTTTATTACTCCTTCACGTCGTCACTACTCCTCCGGTTCTTCTTTATTTTTTGTGATCCTGAGGACCTGCTATAACATTTTTATTGCGACACTTTTACTCCAGAATAAAAGTACTTGGATCGACAGCGACAGATCAGTGATGACAGTCATCCCAAACAAACTGTTTTTCAGATCATTATACATATATGTGTTCGAACGAAACGAAACGAAACGAAAAGTTCGTTAACTCGACTGGACATTCATAGTAATATGTCGCATTGGTTTGCCTGCACACATTGTTGTTGTCTGTACCGCTAGAGTCAGTTCGATTACATATCAAGGTCACTCAACGTGTAACACAAGAAAGTTTTGATCTTGTTTTTTCATTCGTAGGGCAACATGTAAATTCATCAATGTAAGAGAAACCTCCTTTCTAAGGAGAGGCCTATGTCCAGCAGTGGACTAGTAAAGGCTGTTGATGTGATGTGATGTGAAGAGAAACATTCAAACGTTGAAAAGCATTTATCATTTATGTTAAATAAAAATAAATAGGAACTTAACTTGTATTCAATTTTATAGTTTATATAGTTTTGTAGTTTACATTTATAGATTCACAAAGTGCAAATAAGCATTTAATTTAATTGACTTAACACCGCTATAAATGCGGGTTTTATAGTATCTCAAGTATAGTTTATAGTATTAAATATGCAAAATAATATGAAAGTCCCAGTTACTTTTTATCTCGATTTTAAATCTACAAATATAAATAATAATAAATGAATGAGAATGTTTTGAATTCGACTGGCAGTTCGAGAGATTAGCGCTTTTAAACAGACAAACATTTCAAACAAAACTTTTTTTCAGCTTGAGATTAGGTGTAAAAGTGGTCGTATGGTTGTTTGTCAACCCCGATATAAAAAGTACGTTCGAGTAGTATATTGTTACTAAACTTTATTAAATATTACAACGAATATAAGTCAAACTTTATCACTATAACATAATATAGCCGCAACAATATTCTCAAAACCTTGTTTATGCTATAATCTGCGACAAATCGTGCTGGCAATGTACTAAAAGTACTTCAGAGATCTAAAAACCATGAAAATAATATACAGTATAATAATATAACTCATCAACTACACAAAAGTCTTTAAGTAGTTTTCATAATAAAATTAAATAAAAAGTGTTCTTCTCAAATTTAAGTTTTTGTTTCCATATTACTATAACTAGTAAAGTGTACCTTAAGATATTTTCGTACTGATGACCTCCAACAAACAAAATTAGATATCAAACACAAGCGAATACCCTATAAAGTTTTACCTGTAGACGTTAGCGTAGAGGCGGCAGAGGGTGGTGTGACGTCAGAGTCAGTGACGTCACTGCTGAGCCTCCCCTGCCCACGCGTCGTGCCGCAACAGCTGATAAGTCCACCAAAAACACGTTTATTAGATACAACATATATGACGTCTGTGCCCTTACAAAACGACCGATCAGACGTGACGTAGAAAAGTTCAAATTAAATTTCATGGCACGTAGTTATCTATACACAAACGTGTTTATTACTGTTTTTATCAAAATATATATGTTCTGAAAGACGATATATTAAATCTGTAATCAAACAGTTTACCCCGTCATAGCTTTATGTACTTGTTATAAGTTATCCTTAAATAAATGAAGCTAATGTGTAATTTCCCACAAGTAGTTGCTTAGTGCTCGTAAATGTGGCGGGAAAAATATATAGCCGATATGTTTCCATCTGCTATCATACCTAATTGCAGTAAAAGCTAAGTTGAAAGCATTCCTCATTGCTATTAGTAAAAAATCTGATTTTATAAAATGTTAGTCTTTTAAGTGTCAGTTTAACATCATGGCAGAGTACAAACTTTCAAAGATGTGAACTTACTGGTGTGATGTGCTTTAAACAGTAATTTCTTTTATGAACTTTGTTTATTAATTAACACCAATAAAGATAAGGATCATCAATTTTGTTAATTTTGAGAAAATTATGATTAACGTACCTACCTCATGTATAGAGTAACGACATCTTCGGCACAACTATTTTGTTTTGACGGGCCTGTTGGTCTACTGTAATGGTTAGTGATGCTAAATGCTAAGCCAGACGTCGTGGGTTCGATTCCCACCCAGGACAAACATTTGTATGATGAGCACGATCGTTTGTTCTGTGTATGAGTGTAATTTATTTGTAATATGTAAGTATGTTTATCACTGGTTATTATAGCACAGGTTCTGCACTGAACTTTTACCTTACCAATTTTTATACACCAT